ATGCCCCAGGATATCATCTAATCAGCCGGCAGCCTCCAGTGAGTGGAGGCCAACAGCTGGTTTGACCAAAAGCTTAACAGGAAGATCAGGGAAGGTCATGGCCAGCCAGAACCACCACACCTGAGAAAGGAGAGGCCCAGAGACTGCATTAGTCCAGCCAGATCACAAAACAAACAGTAAGTCATCCTATCCCCATGTAGGGGAATCCATATCCCCAGCTGCTACTATAGTTTGCCTTAAAATATCCAGCTTGCAACAACAACAAAAAATGAGTTATACAAAGAAGCAGCAAAGTGTGGTTCATACACAGGAAAAAAAATAATAATGATAAGCAGGACACAAACTGCTTTTGAAGAGACACAGGTGTTGGACTCAGTAGAAAAAGACTTTAAAACAGCTATTGTAAATATGTTCAAATAACTAAAGGGATCCATGCATAAAGAATTTAAAAAAATATGACAACAAATCAAAAAGCAACTATCAATAAAGAGACAGAAATTCCAAAAAAGAACTAAGTGGAAATTCTGGCATTGCAAAGCACAACTGAAATTTTATAACTCACTATAAGGGCTCAACAATAGATTTGAGCTGGCAGAAGAATCAGTGAATTCAAAGAAAGATCAATGAAGATTATGCAGCCTAAAGAACAAACAGAAAACAGAATTAAGGAAAAAGAACACAGTCTCAGAGAGGTGGGATGACATGAAAGTACACCAGTACATGCAGAATGGGTGAGCTCAAGGAGAAGAGAGAGAGGAGCAGAAAAAAAAAAAAAAAATTCAAGGAGAAAATGACTTTTGAAAACTTCCCAAATATGATAAAAATATTAACTACACACCCAAGAAGCTCAACAAATTGCAAGCCTGATAAACACAAAGAGATCCACACCTTGACACATCACAGTCTAAATGATGAATGCCAAAAAACAAAGACAAAATCTTGAAAGAAGCAAGAGAAAAATAATTTATCACTTACAAGGAAACCCCAATAAGATTAACAGCTGACTTCTCATCAGAAACAATGGAGTCCAGAGGGCAGTGGAATAACATATTCAAAGCACTGAAAAGAAAAAAAAAATCATCAACCAGATTCTTATATCTAGTAAAAATTTAAAAAAAAAAAATAAGGGGAAAATAAAGACATTCCCAGATAAACAAGAACTGGGAGAATCTGTTGCTAGTAGGCACACCTTACAGAAAACAAGTTTTTCATGCTGAAAACAAGTAACACCAGGTGTAATTCAAATCCACATGAAAAAGAGTACATGTAAAGACAATTATGTAAGTTATTATAAAAGATGATTAGATTTCTTCTCTTTTCCTCTTTTTTTTTTTTTTTTTTTTTTGAGACGGAGTTTCGCTCTTGTTACCCAGGCTGGAGTGCAATGGCGCGATCTCGGCTCACCGCAACCTCCGCCTCCTGGGTTCAGGCAATTCTCCTGCCTCAGCCTCCTGAGTAGCTGGGATTACAGGCATGCGCCACCATGCCCAGCTGATTTTTTGTATTTTTAGTAGAGATGGGGTTTCACCATGTTGACCAGGATGGTCTCGATCTCTTGACCTTGTGATCCACCCGCCTCGGCCTCCCAAAGTGCTGGGATTACAGGCTTGAGCCACCGCGCCTGGCCTCCTCTTTTACTTGACTTACAAATAACTGCATAAAACAATACACATTGTACTGTTTGAGGCCTTTAACATAAAGAAATGTAATATGCTTGACAATAATATTAATAGCACAAATGAGATAGATGGGATCAAAACTGTATTAGAGAAAGAAAATGACTGCAGATGGTAATTCAGTCAGAAAAAGAAATGAAAGGAACCACAAATGGTAAATAAGGTTAATATAATAACTCCATAATATATGTTTGTTCTCCTCTCAAGTTCTTGAAGGACATAAAATGTATATAAGGGAACAATCAGAACAATATATTGTTAGATTGTAATATATGTAGACATAATATGTATAATAATCATACCATTTAAAAAGGGAGGAGGAAATCAAACTATGTAGGAAGAGTAAGGTTCCTATCACTGGAATTAAGTTAGTATAAATTTGAAGTAGATTCTGATAAGACGCATATTGTAAGCCTTCAAGTAACTAATAAGAAAATAATTCAAAAAACATTACTTAAAGAAGTTAAAATGTTACACTAAAAAATATTCACTTAACATAAAAGAAAGCTGTAAATGAGTAACAGCTGAGGGGAAAAGGAATGGGATGTACAGAAAACAAAATGTAAAGTAGCAGATGTAAATCTGAACATATTATAACATTAAGTGTGAATGAAATAAGCAATCAAATCAAAGGGCAGAATTGCCAGAATGGATTTTTTTTTTTTAAAGATCCATTGCATGTATACAGAAGACTCATTTTAGATTCAAAGATACAAAAAGGTTAAAAGTAACACAATGGAAACAATATATCAAATGGCAACCACAGGAGATTTGCAGTGATGACACTAACATCAGAAGCAATAGACCTCAAAACAGAAAATACGCACATACGTCCCTATCAAACAACGGTGCCCCCAAATACAACAGGCAAAAACTGACAGAAGTAACAAGAGAAAAAGGTAGTTCAAAAATAGTTACAGACTTCCACACCCACATTTGGTAATGGATGTTAACAACTGCACAGAAAAACAATAAAGAAATCTTAGACTTGACCTAACAGACAACCCTCCACCTTCACCCAACAGCAAAATGCACATTCTTTTCAAGTCGCACATGGAGTATTCTCCAGCACAGATCCTGTGCTGGGCTGTAAGATGTGCCTCTATTTAAAAGTGCTGGAATCTGGCTGGGTGCAGTGGCTCACACCTGTAATCCTAGCTCTTTGGGAGGCTGAGGCGGGCAGACTGCTTGAGCTCAGAAGTTCAAGACCAATTTGGTCAACATAGTGAAACCCCGTCTCTACAAAAAATACAAAACACTGGCCAGGCGCAGTGGTGTGCACCTGTAGTCCCAGCTACTTAGGAGGCTGAGGCACGGGAATTGCTAGAACCTGGGAGGCGGAAGTTGCAGTAAGCCAAGACCACAGTACAGCCTGGGCAACAGAGCAAGACTATGTCTCTAAAAATTTAAAAAAAAAAAAAAGGTACTGGAATTATACAGAGTATGTTCTACGACTATAATGGAAATAAATTCAAAATCAATAACAGAAAACATTTGGGGATATTCACAAATATGTGGAAGTTAACACACTCCTGAATAATAAATAGGTCAAAGAAGAAATCTTGGAGTAAATTTTAAAACACTAAGGTGCATGAAAACAAAAACACACACATCCAAGTAAAGCACTGCTTAGAGGGAAATTATGGCTGTAAACACCAACATTAACAGGGAAAAGAGAAAAGAAAAATCAATGATCTAACCTCTACCTTAAGCAAAAGAGCAAATCAAACCCAAAGCAACCGTAAAGAAGAAAATAATATTAGCGTGAAATCAACAGAACCAAAAGTTGGTTTCTTTGATGGCCAATGTGGGTGTGTTGTGTTAAAAAAAAGAAAGAAAAGAAAAAAACCCACCTTTTAAAAACTTGGTTATTTGACAAGAACAAAAAAATTGACAAATCTTTAGGTTAACAAAAAAAGAAAGGAAAGGAAGGGATCAAATTACTAACATCAGGAATAAAAGAAGAACCATTACTAATGACTTTCCAGAAATAAAAAGGATTATAAGAAAATACTAAGAAAAATTATATAGCAACAAATTAGATAACTTAGGTGAAATGGAAAAATTCCAATACAGACAAACTACCAAAACTGACTTAGGAAGAAACAGAAAATCTGAATAGACTTACAACAAGAGATTGAATTAGTAATTTTAAAACTTCCCACAAAGAAAAGCCCAAGCCCAGATGGCTTCACTGGATAACTCTACAAATATTTAAAGAGGAATTAGTATCAATCCCTTGCAAACTCTAAAAAGACAGAAAAGGAGAGGAATAGTTTCCAATTTATTTTATAAGGCCAGTATCATCCTAATGCTAAATCCAGACAAATTCATCACAAGAAAACTACAGACCATTATCCCTTATGAATACAAATTCAAAAAAAATCCCCAATACAATACTAGCAAACAAAATCCAGCAACAGATAAAAAGTGTTGGACACCATGACCACATGGATTTATCCCAAGAAGGCAAGGTTGGTTCGATACACAAATATCAATCAATGTTGTACATCATGATTGTAGAATAAAAGACAAAACCCACAGGATCATCTCAATACACACAGAAAAGCATTTGGCAAATTCCAACTCTTATGATAAAAACAACCAATAGACTCAATGAATCAAAGGGAACTAACTGCCTTGACCTAATGAAAGGCAACTATGGAAAATCCATCAACTAATATCACACTCAGTAGTTAAAGACAGAATGCTTTCTCACAAAAATGAAGAACAAGACAGGCACATCAGTCTCACCACGTATAACCAGGGTAATTAAGAAAAAGAAATAAAAGCAACTAAATTGTAAAGGAAGAATTAAAACGATCTCTATTTGCAGATGACAGAATCATATATAGAGAATCTACTAAACAACTCTTAGAACAAATCAGTTCAGCTCAGCAAAGTTGCCTGATGCAAGATCAACATGCAATGATCAATTACATTTCTATAAAGTAGCAATGAACAAAAAGAACTAAAATTAAGAAAACAATTCCATTTACAATAGCATCAAAAAGGATAAAATTTTTTGGAATAAATTTAACAAAGTCCAAAATTTGTTTCTAAACTTTTCTCCTCCCTTCCTGTCTCCCTCCCTCTTCCCCTTTCCATACCCCTCTCCCCACACACAGAAGAACATGGACAGGCTTCTAAGAACTACTTCATGCTTGAAAACAACAGAGCTAGGAGTTGATTAGTTTGCTATAGAGACTCAGCCACACTTGGTAAAGTTGACGCACGCACATGCACAGATGGGAGCAATGACAGGAGGAAGTACAGCTGCAGGAAGGAGGTGAAAGGAATGCGCAGCTTGCACAGGGTACATACCCAGGAAGGACCGCCTGGGGGCGACCTTGACTTCTTCATCCTTGCTATCTGCAGCTACATTAAAAAGGGAGACAGAAACAGAAAGGGGAAAAAGACAGAAACAGACTGGTTTTAACATGGGTAAACCTGTGTTCCCAGAACTTTTTGCATTTCTTTAACAAAAAGGGGCTAGGCAGATCCTGCTTCCCTTTTCCTAGAAACTAGTCTGTATGCAAGCTTTGGTTGCAATATAGCTGCCCCAGGTCAAAACCCTTTGGAAGGCTGCCTGATAAAGCTGTTTTCAGAGTACACTCTGCTGTAACAGGGGCTGGGTCGACAGGTGCACTTGAGAAGCACCTCTGCACATACACAGAGACATGGGGACAACATGACAGGGACCCAGCACCCTCCAGGGTTCAGCACCTACAATGACAGGTTGTGAGCCAACCTCCCAATCTGTGCAGCCCCGGGACAAGACTGCAGCCAAGGCCTTGGAAAACAGTGTGGCCTCCAGGTGGCTCCTGGGAAGCCACACAGGGTTTGGGATTAAAGAATGTTGATAAACAAGAGACTCAAATGAGTCCTGGGCTCAGAAAGCAGAGGTGGGATCAAAGATTGTGTGTTGCCTGCCCCAGGCAATGCAAACTTAAAATGGAAATTTTCCAAGTGAACAGCTAAAAGCAAATACAACATGATCTCTGACCTCTGCCCTCGGCTACTTGGACTCAGGGTGTTGTCCCACTCACAAGGCAGGAATTGCAATATTTCTACCAAATTTAGGGTTTTATAAATCAACACAGCATACAAAGTCCAGTCTCCTCTCCTCTCCCAGGCTCCCCCAGCACTGCCTCTTAGATTTTATGGGTCCCTCAGCTCTTCCCATCTGTTGCTTTTATTTAGACCACATCCTTCTTCACTGGTGCCTCTTCTAAAGACCAAGATCTACAAGGGGTGGGAGGGGTGGAGGGACCACCCAAGGCAGTATTGCTCAGTCCACCCTGTTTCCCTTCTCATATCCAGGCATGACTGTGCACAGCTTGGGGGTAAACAGGCAATGGAGGGAGGCAGCCAGCCGGCAGGCTGGGGAAAAGGCATGGTTCAGGCTGCAGACTCCCATCCCACACCAGGCTGTGTCCTGCCACAGCCTCAAGCTACCTAAGGCTCCTTGCCTGGAAAGCAGTGTGATCAGATCCACGTTTGTGTGGGGCAGACTGCAAAGAGTTCTGACGCCAAGAGACCTGTCAGGAACATTTTCAACAGTCACGTATTTCCACAAATCTGTGCTGAACATGTCCTCCAGACCAGGCACTCAGGGTCCAAAAAGGGCCCAGCAATATTTTCCTTTTCCTCAGAACCTCAACACTTGGCTTGGGGAGGTGGTGTCAGTGTCTTCTCCCCTTGATCACGGGTGGGCTTGTGACCACTCCAGTCCATAGAAGCAATGCTGTGATTTCCAAGACTTAGGTCATAAAACAGATACACCTTCTATCTGCTTCCCCAGGAAGCTCCCCCTTGGGACCCGGCCACCATGTGAGAAAGCCCAGGCCTCATAAGGAGGCCTTGGTGGATGTCCCAGCAGAGCCCGGGCAGAGGTCCTGGCAGATGGCCAGCACCAGCCATGCCAAAGAGCGAGTGAGGAAGAGAGAGGAGACAAGAAAATGAGCTTCAATGGCTGCAGCCCTAGCCTTTGCACCTCCCCAGATGCCACTGAGGACAGCAGAAGCCAGCTGCTCCTGCCAAGCTCTACCCAAAATGCACACATGGGCAAAATGAATGTTGTCCTTCCAAATACTAAGATCTGGGGTAACTTGTGGAATAGCCAAAGAGACTGGAACAAGAGACAGGACAAGTTATAGTCCCACATGGCCAGCAGGAAGGAGGCTGGCTGGGCAACAGAGGCCATCAACTGCTTCCTGGGACTCTGGTCCATGTCACAACTGGAGACTAAGAAGAAAGGTTTGCACTGTTCCCTGTTGGTACAGCATGACTGGGGGGTGCAAGGGTGACAGTGACAGGGAGGTGCTGGCTGGCCTGGGACTGGGGAAAGCACATGATCACAGTGGCCCAGGTGAGCCCGCAATGGCAGGTACACAGGCAGATACAGGGGTTCCCAATGTGACGTCCAAGAATGTCATTAAACCCCTGGAAATGCATGCAAGATGGCACACAACCCCACCCACAACACGTTTTCCAGCTTTCTTGAGCTGTAACTAACTTACCCGTTTAAAGTGTACAATTCAATGGTTTTTAGGATATTCACCATCACTATCTAATTTTAGGACATCTTCAGCACCCCAAAAAGAATCCCTCAACTAACCAGCAGCCAGAGGCCTCACGCCTAGAACTCTGAATATTAAGATTTGAGGCAAATTTCAAGTAAATTCAGCCACCTGACTTTGAGCCACAATTATTTCTCAAATAACCCCTAAGAGGAACTTAAAAGGAAAAAACTACATGATAAAGCAAAGTTAAACTTTATAAAAGCAAAAGTTTTCAATAAAATGAAACAAATGACCCCACGTACCCAGTTGCTGCTGCACCCATGACTAGGTGCACTTCCTGGTGACATAAACGCAGCAGCAACCTGGCTTCCGTCCCCAGTGGGAAGTGCCCTGAGGATGTGCAATCCTGAGTATATAAATCCCCACCCCCAATTAAACAAATGTTTTCAGCGACCGGGCGGCTGGCACTGGCATGATGACCCTCAGACTGCCATACACAGAGAGGGCTAAGAGAGGCACGAGGACGTCACATTCCATTATTTGTGGGGTCCTTGAGGAAGGGAGTTGACACAGGGCAGAAGGGAGGCTGAGCCCAGGCTAAGAGGTGCAGCCAAGCCTACAGGCTTCAAGTCAAATGGGAAGAACTGGTGTGTACTCATGAAGTACTTCACCTCAGCAAAAAAATTCCCTAGCTCCAGCCGCTGAAAAAGCCAAAAAAGCAACCTCCAGGCCAGCCCTCATGTGTGCCCAGGCTGTGGTCTCCAAATACTGCATCCCAGATACCAGAGCTCCCTGGAGAAACGACGGATTCCGGGTCTGGGGCAGGAGACGTGGCTGTCACACGAGAACCTTGTTATACTAGGACCCTGTGTGGAACCAGTCAAAAGGGCCCAGCACCACCATGCAGCTCCCAGGCCAGAGCAAAGAACTGGAGCTTCAACACACACAATAATCCAGTAACACACAAAACATCCAAATCGCATGTCCAGAATGACTGAAAAACTGCACTCATCATCGCAAGATGCAAGGAAACCAATTTTGAAAACTGGTAAAGAGAGAGACCCGAATTTCCCTTGGAAATTATACCCATGGTCAGCTGAACCATGGGCACCAGGCCGTTTCCCTGCAGAGGGGCTCCAGCTAACAGAGGGCAACCATCCTGCACCCCTGATCAGCTCACGGCCTCAGCATGAGCCCACAGTGGGGCTCTGGTGGACCTCTGGTGACCACTGGCGCCTCTGGTGGAGCGGCGCAACCGTCCTGCAAAACACGAGAACCAAACCTGGGTCCGATCGGGCCTCTGGGTCCACTGTCTTTTAAAAATGCTCTTTCACAGAAAGAGCCAAGGACAGAATACCCTGTCCACATCCCAAGGACGTAAAGACATGAGGAACAAGCGTGCGCACCATCTCCACTGCACGGCTTCCCAAAACTTGGCCTGCAGGAGCACTCAGCAATCTCGTTAAAATGCAGTGGCACTGATGCCAGTAATACAGACCACAGGCAAAGTCAAGGAGTGCCAAGGGAGAACCCACGGATTTTTAAACAACAAAAATGTATATACTGCCAGGCACAGGGGCCTACACCTGTAATTCCAATACTTTGGGAGGCTGAGGTGGGAGGATCGCTTGGCTTGAGCCCAGGAATTCAAAGCAATCATGAGCTTTGAAAATACCACTGCATTCCAGCCTGGGCAACAGAGCAAGACCTTGTCTCAAAAAAAAAAGAAAGAAAGAAAGAAAAGAAAAACCTGCAGCAGGAAGGAGACCTGAATGCACTTGAGGGTCCAGTCACCCTCGGGCTTTACACCACCCTCCCTACTTGGTAAATGTTTGAAATTCTCTGTAATGCAAAGTGTGAGCTAAAAAGAAATAACCCAGGACACGCAAGACAGATGTGTACTCACTCCCAACCATGGTCAGCCATGGCCTGGCTGAAGAGGTTCGGTTTTGCCCGGGATGGCACCGTGTTGGCGCTGGCCCTGCTGTCCTCAGACTGGGCACTCGAGGCCCTGGGGGACATCTCCCTCTGGCAAGGGGCCCCGACCCTGACTCACAATGACAACAGTGGGGGAAAACGTCTCAGTGGAATGAGGGTTTCTTTTTAAAGCCTGATCATAATTTTGAAAATGATGCCGATTTTGTGAAAGGAGACTGTGGAAGAACAAAAGGAAGAGACGTAGAAAGTATGCCACAGTGTTCAAAGCAGTTACCTCTGGAGGGCGGGGCAGAAGCTGTTTCACTTTTCCCTCATATTCTGTCTTCCCCAAATATCTACCATTAGCATGCACTGTTCTTTATAATCAGACAACAAATTACGCATTTAATTTTTTTTTTTTTTAAGATGGGGTTTCACCATGATGGCCAGGCTGGTCTTGAACTCCTGACCTCAGGTGATCCACCCACCTTGGCCTCCCAAAGTGCTGGGATTACAGGCGTGAGCCGCCACGCCCAGCCTATGCATTTAATTTTTTAAGTAATCTACCCTTTCCTAACACCATTTATGTTTCTTTAATCTTAACTTTCTTTTTCTTTTTTTAACCTTAACTTTCAAACTGAACTTGTGATCTCCAAAACTTAAAATCCTTATAAAAGATAGCTGGAAAACATTTACACTTTTACTTCATTAGGTCGTCTGACTATCCATGAGCATAGTGAAATGTAGCTATTCAAACGTTTCCTCATAAATTATTTTCATATCCTCATCAGTCTGTCAAGAATTGTGCCTCCCAAGGCCCACGGACCTCCTTGGCATGTCCTTATCCTCAGGTGAGGCTCAAAAATGTGCTTGGCAAAAGCAAAAACTGACAAATGGAATCTAACTAAACTTAAGAGCTTCTGCATAGCAAAAGAAAGTATCAACAGAGCAAACAGACCACCTACAGATAGGAGAAAATCTTTGCAAACAATGCATCTGACAAAGGTCTAATATTCAGCATCTATAAGGAACTTAAATTTACAAGAAAAAAAAAAAACCCATTAAAAAGTGGGCAAAGGACATGAACAGACACTTTTCAAAACAAGACATACATGCAGCCAACAAGCATATGAAAAAAGGCTCAACATCACTGATCATTAGAGAAACGCAAATCAAAACCACAATGAGATACCTTCTCACACCAGTCAGAATAGCTATTATTAAAAAATAAAAAAAAAATCACAGATGTTTGTGAGGTTGTGAAGAAAAAGGAACACTTATACACTGTTGGTGGGAGTGTAAATTAGTTCAACCATTGTGGAAGACAGTGTGGTGATTCCTCAAAGACCAGAAATACCATTCAACACAACAATCCCATTACTGGGTATAAACCCCTAGGAATATAAATTGTTCTGTTGTAGACACAATCACACATATGTTCACTGCAGCATGATGCACAACAGCAATGACATGGAATCAACTTATGCCCATCAATGAAAATCATCCAGATTTTCTTGTGGATGAAGAAAATGTGGTACATGTACACTATGGAATACTACGCAGCCATAAAAAAGAATAAGATCATGTCCTTTAGAGGAACATGTATGGAGCTGGAGGCCATCATCTTTAGCAAACTAACACAGGAACAGAAAAGCAAATGCTGCATGTTCTCACGTGCGAGAGCTAAATGACAAGAACACATGGACACATAGAGGAAAACAACTCACACTGGGGCCTATAGGAGGGTGGAGGGGAGGAGGAGGGAGAAAACCCAGAATAACCGATGGGTACTAGGCTTGACACCTGGGTGATGAAATAATCTGTACACCAGCAGGATGCAGCGGCTCATGCCTGTAATCCCAGCATTTTGGGAGGCCGAGGTGGGTGGATCACTTGAGGTCAGGAGTTCAGGCGTTAGAGAATCCGTATACCAAACCCCCGTGACATGTAATTTACCTATATAACAAACCTGCACACGTACCCCAAACTTAAAAGCTTTAAAAAAAAAAGAACATGTTCAGAGGCAACAACCTCCTGTGTGAGGTGACGCCACTGGCAGGAAGCCGAGGCTGGCCGCCTTGTCCGGCACTGGGCTGGCTGCAGGAACTACAGATCCGGTGGCCAGAAGCCAGAGCCTTCAGTCTGAATTTCAGTTATGTTCATGGCCCGCTCTCCCCTCTCCTGGCAGAGGAGAGGATGTGAGCCACACCTTTCATCAAGGTGTTCTGCAGAAGAAGGCCTGGGCCTGTCCACCAAGTGGACATGGACATGTATAAACTCAAATCGGACTCAAATATGCAGTGCTGCAGATGTGAACCTCGACTCCTTAAACCCACAGTTATATCCAGTACAGAGTCCAGGAGTGGATTTTCCACCGAGGTCATTTGGGGCCCAGGAGTCGTGCCGCTTGGTTCTCAATCCTCCCTGGAGTGAGGGCTGGTGCAGGGCACCCAGGCTGACCCCAGAAGCCCGGGCCTCACCCCTCTCAGTGGCCCTGGCCTGCTTCCCAAATGTTCCAGGCCTTGAGGAAAGGGTGCACCAGCTTCCTGTCACCTCTATAACAAGGTACCACAAACATGGTGACCACAACTCAGGCTGACTATCTTAACTCTGGAGGCCAGAAACCCAACGGTCTCCTGGACTAAAACCAAGGCTGTGTCTCCTGCTCATTCAAGTAAGGGCAGAACTCAGTTCCCCATGGTCTTGGGCTCTGCTGCCTATAAAGCAACTGCCCACCCATGGCAGAGAGCTGGCCCTCAGCTCCAGTCCCTGACTGCCTCCTCTGCACCCCTCATTCATGTCTGAGGACCCCCGGGATTAGGTTTGGCCACCGGCTAATCCAAGACCAACCCCTCAAGAGTCTCTCAGCCATATACAGTGACACATCACAGGTTCCAGGGATCAGGGTATGGACGTCTCTGAGGGCCATTATCTGCCCACCCACAGAGGGGCACTTGTAAAATTTGGATTCCAGGCCTAACTCTGGAAACTGGGACTCACAATGTTACCTCATCCCAGGGAACCAGAAGAGAAGTACTCGTCTGGAAGAAGTGACACAGAACACTAAGCACCCACTGTCCCATTCCCTTCTTACCACGCTCCTATGAGATGAGCCTGCACCCACACCTGCACCTGCTGGTAAAATGAACGGGGGCAGGCAGCTTACGATGCCGCGTCTAGAGGGAGCCGGTGTTCCAACAACGCACACACACATTAAACTCCAAGCCGGCCACACTGCCTAAACACTCACAACCTGCCATCCCTGGGAACGCTCATCAGGCACCGTCAACAAAGTCACAAGGCCTGGCCTCGTGGCTGGAGCCGGAGGACAGCAGAAACACCCAGAAACGCACTGGGCATCTTAGGCACAAACCGTTCTCTCAGCCCTCCATTCCTCCCACAGTGAGAACATTCCCGTTCCAAGTTAAATGCTGAGGTTCAAAGGGGCAGGGAACACGCCACAAGGAACGCAGGCCAGAGAAGGGGCAAAGCCTCGTAGGAAGCATGACAGAGTCACCTAAGCAGAAACATAAAAACCACAGCTCCTCAGTACGCAGGGAATCCTGGCCAGTTCTTAAAAGCCTGCTTTCTAGGCAAGATCCGTGGTATCGTCACACTACCTCTGGTGTAATTTCAAACCCAAATCACCACAGGAGGGAACAAAGCAGAGACTCAGAGGAGAGGAGAATGGCGTGAATGGGGAAAAAGAACAGAACACCGCAGGAAATCTTTATGGCCACAATGACACTAACTGGCCCAGGCCACGCATCGGGGCTAGAGGCTGGTCTGCTTTCTACAGAGGCTGAAAGCAGCCCATATTCACCTCGCTCTAAAAACAGAAGAGAAAAAGGGAGAGGTGGGAGAGGCGGAGATCCTCTCTGATAGGAAGAAGTATCATAAGGAATAGAAACACAGGGACACACTCCCAGGGAAGATCTCAAATCCATGGCAGCCCCAAACTAAACAAACTCTGGGGAAAACATGCTTCTCCAAGCAACAGCTGAGATCAGTCTCTCTCAGACAAAGCCAAAATGAGCACTGTCTTAGATTTATTAATTAGAAGAAAAACAAAAGGAAGGATTTAACCCTCCTGCACACCAGAAGCCCACCAGCCTACATGTTCAGAGGTCAGACAGAAACAAACTGTGCAAAAGGCAAAAACTGGAAGAAGTATTTTCTATTTTCTGAGCTGCCGAAGGTGAAGGAGTGGTGTGTGCCAAGCATGTGCTAAGCATGTAATTGGTCCAGGCAACACAGCAGTGTGTGGACCCTGCCCGTGTGCTCTGGATAAAGGGGTTGCCTGACCCCACAGGGTGACTCTGGGTCTGTTTAACAAGGTCTCTGAGGAAGACCTGGGCTAACAAAGCCCATGAGTCACAGCAAAACCGAGAGGGTTTGTTTTGTGCACAGGCCACGCACACAGAGATCAAACACCTTCCCTGGCGCCATCTGACTTGATGGAGCCAGGCACAGAGGAGCACTTCAGCTGTGAGGACGTGTTAAGGCCACACCCAAAACCAGAGAAGAAACCATTATCTTGAATTGTTTCAAGGTACAAGCTGTTTAATTAAAGTCATTAACATACTGAAACCGCTATGGGTTGCAGATAGCAGCACCACTTGGTGACATGAAAGCTGCCTGGATCAGAACAGATTAGAGTGGCTTTGTTTCAGCAGAGTTATCTTTTGCCCTGACTCCCTGGGACTCTATTCTGAAGCACCAGCCACCAACCTGCAAAGCAGCGGCGCCTGGCGTTGAGCTCGTTGGCCACTCGGACCTCCGTGCACAGCTTCAGCATCAGCAGCATGGTCAGGATCATGATGGCGCTCTGCCACAGCAGCGGGGACTCAAAGCGCCTTCCAAACCTGAGAGAGAGACCCGGGTCAGGAGGGAGGCCCACCCACGCCGCCTCTCCCAGTCCTGAACCTGCAGGGGGAGACACAGGTCAGGAGGGAGGCCCACCCATGCCACCTCTCCCAGTCCTGAACCTGCGGTGGGGAAGACCCAGGTCAGGAGGGAGGCCCATCCACACCGCCTCTCCCAGTCCCGACCCTGCGGCCGGAGAGACCCGAGTTAGGAGGGAGGCCCACCCACACCGCCTCTCCCAGGCCCCAAGCAGCATCCAGGGGAAGGAGTCCAAGGGGTGGCGAACACCACAGTGACCAGCAGATGGGCACCTGCTGCCCATCTCCCAGACTCCAGGTGGGGTGGGGCTCCAGGGAGGGGCCATAAGACCCCTACACAGCCTGACCCAGGACGCCTCGGCACATTAGGCCCTCCCCAGAATCAGTGCCCAGGTGCTGGTACTGGGGTCTGGTGGTCCTCAGTCCCCTCCCACAGCTCAGCCCAGGTGCCCTAGGCCCTCCCTGCAGCCTCCAGGCAAGAAGCCATTTCTAGCCCAGAGTAGCCCTGCTTCCTGCCAGGGGAAGGCGAGGTCAGCGTGCAGAGCAGCAAGGGAGCCGGACGCGAAATTTCCACATGCACACAGACTCCCACAGAAGAGGAGAAGGCAGCCAAGCTTCTGCGCTGCCACCCAACCTAAGGCCCACCCCACCCCCAGGCCTCCCTGCCCACAGCCTTTCACCCTCCCTGGCCCAGAGCTCCCCTGGCTGCCCACTCCCAGGCCTTCTTGCTGACTTTTGACCAGGGTTGGGCATCTCATCAGCTCAGCCATGAGCCTCTGCAGCACAGAACCACAGGCCAGTGACTGGCAGGCCCTGGGGTCTCCCGTCTCCCCAGAGTCACCAAAGAGCTGGGACACGGACCTGCAGAACCACCATCTCGAAGGCTGGGCTGCGGCACATACTCATCGAAAGCCCCAGCCTTGACCCTCCCCTGACCGTTCCAGGGCGGGAATCTCAGCCTGCAGCTTCTTTGGCCTGAAGGGAATTTTCAAAACTTAAATTGGTCACCAACATGTCAAAGTCAGAAGATCCTACAGAACGGCCTAACTTCCCAACTTCTCCCAAAAAACTGAAGACCCGGCAACAACCACCACTGTCCCCACCTCTCTCCAGCTCTCATGCAGCGGGCACCCGTGGGCCAACACCTGCAACCCCAGTCCATCAACCTCCCAGAGAGGCCACCTTATGGGTGAGGGCTGCTAAGAGCCGCTTCCTACAGCTCCTAAAATGCAGCCGGCAGGAATGTGCACTATTATCAGTGCCCCTTACCAACACAAAGCAGAAGCAGGGGGAACCCCGCAGCCCCCATAGCCACCCCCTTATCAACACAGAGCAGTAGCAGGGGAAGCCTCCTGTGGAAACAGCCTCCCTGACCCAGAAGCCATCAGAGTCAGCCTCAGGAGGCACCACCCTATCCAAGCTGACTACCATGAGAAGGAGCTACACCAAAATCGCTCAGGAAACGTAAAAAAAAAAAATCACAAAGCTCAGCAGTGATCCGCATCACCAGCAATCCGTAAACGACAAAACTGGATGCAGCCTGATCTCCCGTCCTCAAAAGGGCACGTCTTTGGAAGGTTCTACATGATGAGGAAAAAATGTCCCATAAATGTAGAACTGAGCCTCAGATGCTGCAAGACCCTATAATGTGACGAGTCCAGGTTTGTGCATGTAGTCACTGTCAGAGTGAACTCCCAGCTGGCTTCTCAGAGGCAGCTCTGAAGGCTTCCTGGACAGCAGCACCTGCACCCACACACAAGAAGCCCGCCAGCCTGCACGTTTAACCAGGGATTTGCCCTGGACAGGAAGCCCCAGCCCAGGTGAGACAGCCCAACAGGTGAGAAGCTGCCACTTGCAGGTGAAGGTATTGCAGCAACCAGGAAAAAGCCACAGACGTTCTCCTGGGGGGACAGGGAGCCAGGATGCAGTTCTCAGAGGGTGGCCACGCTGATTCCCTCTACACTGGCTCCAGAGACCAAGGCCTTTCCCTGTCTCCTAGGAGCTCCTTAGCAGACGGACCAGTCGCTTGAGGTCACAGAGACTCAGGGAGCAGAGAGGAGGACAGAGAAAACAGCAGCTGAGGCCCAGGACCAACAAGGGGCCAGACAGGCAGGCAGACAAGGGGCACCTCCAGGAACATCATCCAGGTCATCAGGGGCCACTGCAGTCCCCTTGCCTCACTGGAGGCCTCTCTAGGAAGCCTCCGAGAAACGCACACGGCAAAACTAAGGCAGAGGGAGGGAGGAAGAGTGTCAGGCCTGGTATAGAGGGCAGCTGGCAGGAAAAAGGAGCTTGAACAAGGTTTTCTGGGCCTAATCACAGGCCGGGGGTGCAGGGACACTGTGTGAGTGCAGGGGACATGGGCACTCTGCCTGCAGGCTGGCTCCAGCCCCGACACCAGCCCCTCCAGTCCTCCTTGGCTTCTGCATGATAAAGCACAGATCGAAACCCCCAAGGCTAGAGGATACAGCCCATCTCACGTCACTTCCAGAACCCATTCTCCACTGGCTACCAAGCGGCCTGGGCGCAGGTCAACTCACCCACAGCAACTTGAGGCTGAGGAGCTGATGCTGGGCAGGCATCTAAAACACGCTAGTCCCCTGGGAAGCACCAAGCCTCGTCACACCACATTCACCTCCAGCAGTGAGGCTGTGTGAGCCATTGTGGCCACTCTGTGCGAAAGGCTGCCCGCATATTTTAAATGTTCAACAGAAGCAATGAATGACCAGACAGACTCTGGGGAAGGCGGGGGAATCAACATTTGAACTTCCCCAAAATCCACACATCAAAATCAAATCTAGAGGAACTCAATATGCACAGTAAGGAATGAGGCCATTTAAAACGAAGTGAGAGGCTGCACAGAGGCAAATAGTGAACTAATTTTAGGGTGACGACAAAGAAAAACACAAAATTTCAAAAAGCACTGTTCCACAAAAGATGAACAAGGAACAAAATGAAAACAAACAAATCCAGCTGTCTTAGCAATTTTAAAAGCTGATTAAAATAGATGTCGTGTTTACTTCTCAACTTTTTCTTCCTTTAGTGATAACAGTCTGTGCTGGCCATGAGCTCAGGAGAGTACCTTTCCTCTCCTGCCCGAGAGCCTGACTCCCACGCCTCTTCTCATGGCAGGCGCCAGGCAGCCCACCTGTGTGGCACAGGAACCTGCTCCTCAGGAAGCACCCAGACACCTAAGTTGGGCTCTGCAGGTGACCACACCCAGGTGCCCACCCACAGGGACGCACAGTGCAGAGGGTGCCCCATAGCTGACCAAGCCACAGAAAAACTTCATGCTCCAAAATCTCACAGAAAAACTCAAGCAGAAAGCTCTGTATCTATTCTTAGGCACCACTAAAGCTATCACTCTTAGTAACAAAATGTTATGACTTCTCAGATACAATGTTTCATTCCTTGATCTAAGAGTGTTCCAGTCTGGGCTCCACTGCAATGGAGCCGAGGCTCTCAGGGACTTGCAGCACAGTGTTTCCTCCAGGCCTGGCTCTCCCTTTTCCTTCACATACAGGCGTTAAACACCAGCTAGGAGGCATCATTTAGCCCTTCTGGCTTCTGGCACGAACCTCCCAAATCCTGCACAATGGCATTTCACAGTGTGATCTGCTGATTGCTGGCTTTGCAAAATGGTAGTAAGGATTGTAAGAAACAAAAACATGAGTTATCTATGTTTCAGAATCCCTGGGTTTGTACTGCTAAAGCAGCCCCTGAAGGACTGCAGAGCCCATATGCCATGTACCCCAAGTCCCCAACCGGGGGCCGCTCAGAGGGCCTGGAGCTCTGAGGACCATGCCCCAGCAGCTTCGAAGCATGAAGATTCTAACACCACCACTGTGCTGGTGGACCCCCACTTCTTCTCACCAGAACCTGCCCCACCTCTGCTCTCCCCAGCCCATTCTCACCAGAGCCTGCCCCAGCCCCACTTCTGCTCTTCCACCCCCACCACCCCCAACCCAAACAACAAGTGTGCATGCATATGCATGGAGCTGGGGTCATGAGCGATGTGTCCCATATGTCACTTCTGCTAAAGCACAAACACTGCCCTACAAACCCTGAAATCAAAGAGGCTGTGAACCTCCAAAGCCTAGAGAGGGGATGCCAGCAATCAGGGTCGCAAGAGGCTCCCCAGAGAGAAACAGAAGAGATCATCATCCCCTCTGCACAGCAGGACCTGAGGTCCAGGTGGGCACAGGGGATGTACAGTAGGTAGGGAGCTGGGCTTCCCTGTGAGGAGCGCAGGGACGGCCCATCCTCAGGGTGGAGGGATGCCCAGCAGGAACCAGCACCCTCTACTCTCCCCGCTTTCATCCCACTGTCTTCTGGAACACGCCAGGACCCTGTGTGTGCACTCAGTGGTCACGGAAGTCATTCATGACCAGGATAGCCCAAGATGTTGATTCTATGAAGAGACCCATGGACAAAGTTCAGAATTCCCTGGAAGGCTGCCCTGTGCTCCACAAAGAAAGAGCTCAAGCGTCTCTCAAAGGCCTGTAAAGCAAGAACTCCCATTCCCAGCTTCAAACCCCTATGTCGAGTGCCAGTTAGGCCATGAGGCAGTGAAAGATGGTACCAGGAAACAGGGTTAATTTCTGAATTCTCCAGACTAGATTCGTAGATGGACATTA